CGGCGCGGGGCCCTCTTGGCGCGGGGCCCAATTCAGCCAAATCGGCTGAATCGGCCTAAAGCCGGCCCTGTTGGCAGGTTGTCTGTGGGCGAGGACTGGCCTGGCTCCCAAGACCTGTGAAAGTGAGAGATCATTGTCCAGGATGGGTTGTAGATCACTGATGATGCATTGGAGAGGTTTTAGCTGAGGACTGTAGGTGATGGCCAGTGGAGTTCAGTTGGTTTCTTTCTTGGGCTTGTCTTGCAGCAGGAGGCTTCTGGGTACACGTCTGGATCTGTTGATCTGTTTCCTTATTTCTTCATGCGGGTATCATAGTTTTGAGAATGCTTGGTGAAGATCTTGTAGGTGTTGGTCTCTGTCTGAGGGGTTGGAGCAAATGCGGTTGTACCTCAGCACTTGGCTGTAGACAATGGATCCTGTGGTGTTTCCGGGATGAAAGCTGGAGGCATGAAGGTAGGCATAGCAGTCGGTGGGTTTTCAGTATAGGGTGGTGTTAACGTGACCAGATCAGCCACAACATCACTGATTCATTCACCAATGTAATATACGCCATCATGTGCCAGCAATGCCCCTCTGCTATGTACTTCGGCCAAACTGGACAGTCCCTATGTAAAAGGATAAATGGACATAAGTCAGATATTAGGAATGGCAGTATAGAAAAACCTGTAGGAGAACACTTCAGTCTCCCTGGACACACAATAGTAAATTTAAAGGTAGCCATTCTGCAGCAAAAAAACTTCAGGACCAGATTTCAAAGAGAAACTGCTGAGCTTCAGTTCATTTGCAAATTTGACATCATCAGCTCAGGATTAAACAAAGATTGTGAATGGCTAGCCAACTACAAAAGCAGTTTCTCCTCCCTTAGTGTACACACCTCAACTGCTAGAAGAGGGCCTCATCCTCCCTGATTGAACTGACCTCGTTATCTCTAGACTGATTCTTGCCTGCATATTTATACCTGCCTCTGGAAACTTCCACTACATGCATCTGACGAAGTGAGCATTCACCCACGAAAGCTTATCCTCCAATACGTCCGTTAGTCTATAAGGTGCCATGTGACTCTTTGTAACCTTCCTGTAGACACCATACTTGACTTCCTTTGTACAAGATTTGGTGCAACTATAGGACCTTGGTTGCAACAATTATCTATACGGTCACAGTTCATGTCAATAACTTCACACTGGGTCTTTTCTTCTGGGGCAGGGCTGGGAGTGGCCAGGCTTGGCTGGGAACCAAGGGTCTCCAGTCCATCCAGCTGCGGTGGGTAACACCCAACGTTAGCTCCATTGGCTGCAGCTCATTTAGTGCCAGGCTTGGCATGTCCACACACAGACTCACCCCAAAATACCCACAGCGGGTTCCCTCACAGCGTCCATGGTTTCAGTGCAGGTCTGTGTGTGGGGTGGCCGTAGTGCTCCCCTGCCAATGGGGAGAGCTGGGCAGCAGGGACACCCGTGGGGATTCAGAGTGCACCATACATGTGAACAATGCGCTGTGTACAAGGGGCTCTGAGCTGATCACCTCTGCAGCACTGACCAGGGGACCAGCTCATTGGGGCTCCCAGGGAGCTGCTAAGTGCTGCTGGCTTGCTGTCTGCCCATGACCACATCAGGGGGTTCTCTGGCACCCCTCTCCTCCCTCCACACATAGAGACCCTGCAGGGACCCCTCAGATCGTGTCTAAGGGTCACTCCCCATTGCTAGGCAGCCAGCACCTGCCACTCAGGGCTCCCCCTGACTACTGCTCCCTTACCCCTCTGTCCCTTTGCAGCCTGAAAAGCCTGCTGCAGCCCTTTTGAGGGCCACATGGCCCATATGCTTGTTCTAAACCCTGCCTGACCGACGGCCTCATGGCCCCAGAGCTTGGAGCCGATTCATCAGCTGAGAATTGCCCCAAGAGGGACTCCAGGAAATCTACACGGCCCCGGCCAAGATGGGCATAATGGTGGGGAGCAGCCAGGGAGTCCATGGGGTGACCAGCTGGACACAGAGAGGGAAAGGCATGTGTGGAGGATAGAGGCATTTTCTAGGCTCTGCCAGTATCCGGCCCAGCCTGGGTTCCCAGTGCAGCGACTCTGCCAATAAAGCTACTGGGGGCAGGGGACAGGGAGGACACAGCACATAGACCCTCAGTACAGGGAGCCCCTCCCCCACACTCAGCTGTGTATGTTCCCTGCCTGCCTCCTGCGCCTCTCCCAACTGTATGTCTCTGAGAAACTGCCTCTCCCCAACATTCCCTCCCTCCCTCCTCCTGCCATATGACCAGCCTCTTTACCCAAACACCCCACCCTGCCCTCCTGGGATGTGGGAGCTGGTTAGCAGACAGAGCGAGAAGTAAAGAGGCTGGGGACGTTAAGTTGAATTTCCACCCTGGGCAAAGACTTTACAATTGAGCCTTAATGATGAATGTTCAGATTTCCAGCACTGACACATTGTGAGCAGATGTGGGCCAAAAATCCAGTTTTATTTGGGTGAAATATATGCAAAGAAACTGAGTGTGAGCTGATGGAGATGTACAGTCCTAGCCGGATCTTTGAAAACAGAGAGAAAACGCACGGCATCACTGATACCCCATGTGCTTATTACTCCCTGCAGGGAACGAGTCCAGCGCAGCACCAGCAACACTCCTGAAGATCATATTGAATGTAAGAGCTTTTGGAGAGTATTGGGGTTACTAGGGTCACGTAAACATGAGGAAGAAATGCGGGGGCTGGGAGTAAATGTGTTAATTGGTAGGGGATGGACAGATCCCAGATCAGACTTTCTGGCCAGTCAAGAGTTAGAACAACAAACTGCATGTGATCAAAGTGAATGAGGAGAAAGAGTTCTTGGGGCGCCAGGGCTTGTGCATCTGAGTCCCTGAGGTTCCTTTGTCCCACTCTTTGCCCGTAATACCCAGTCCGGCATTGCATTGGCTTACAGGACTGAGCCAAAGTGTTACTACTTCCCGTCCTTCATGGAAAGGGCACATCCTGGGGAAGGCTCCCATTGGAAAGTGTTCCACCCCCTTCACTGGGAGCTGGCTCTGCTTCCTGCTGTGTGCAAATGTGGACCAGGATGTGACAACACAGCAATAAGTCCCAACAGACTGTGCCTTGTCTGGCAATTGGTGCCCATCTGTTGGCTATATTGTGAGGCCCAAGGCTGAGATACGTACATGGGGGATATTCTTATGTCAGGGAGTGTGAGGTTGGAAGTTTAAAGAGAGAAAACTCTTGTTTAAAAAAACCCTAAATGTGCAAGGTGTTTGGAAGCCCTGAGGAGTGTCACATCCCAGAGGGAGATTTAGCCCCCTGAGAAGCACAGTCACACACAACTCTGTTCTACTTAATTATAAATTAATCCAGTGGATCACTAAATCCTCAACCTGGTTGAAAAATAGTTTTTTTTTTCTGTGGAACATTTAGATAAAAATGATTTTTCTTTAGTTTTTCTCATAATTTTCTGTGGGAAATTTCAACTTTTCAGTGAAATATCTAAAATTGAAATATTTCAACTGAAAAAGAAAATATTTTGATTCAAGTTGGTGCAAGAGTGCCTTGTGGGAGCTGTAGTTCAGGGGCTTCCTGCTCCTGGTCTCCTTTTTGAGCTGGGATCTCCGGCTCTCCCAGGATGTACCACTTTCTCCCCAATTGGTGATGGTAAATAGTACATCATGGGAGTCCCTGGCTGTGGTGCATCATGGGAGATGAAATCCAGCCATACAGCCCTGCCTGTAGAGGAGAATATCAGCACAAGCACAGACAACTCGGGCCTCCCCATGTTGGGGGGGGGGCACAATCTAAAGGGGAGGACACGTGACCTCCCCCTCACATGTCTCCTCTGCCCAGCGACTTCCTCGCCCTGTGCCCAGCCCGGGGCCACCGCACTCTCCCTTCCCCACGTTACCTGCAGGGCTCTGTCTTTCTCCTGCTGCGCCTCCTCCCTGACACGATTGGCCGGGTTCCCTGGCATCCGGGCCCGGATGGGGAGCGGGAGGGAGCCACTTCTTGTGTGGCTCAAGCTGGCCACTCCATGTTGCTGACTCTTTGCAATGCAGCAGCTGCCTGACAGAGCCTGGCTGGGAGGCGGTGGGCCACCCCCCACCTGGACCCAGCTGCTGGGGTCTGGGGACGAGCGATCCAGAAACATGCTGGGAGGTAGAGGGGCTCACTCGGCCCCGATCCCTGGCAGCTGCACCCAGGCATGGGGGTGGGGTGGGGAGGAAGGTGCTGCCACCACCTCCCCAGGCAGGCTCTTGCAGGCAGCCATCACGCCACACAGAGCAGTGACCTGGAGCGGCCAGCATGAGAAGTGCTTGGTCCCGCCCCTTCCACTTCCCGCCCGGGCCTAGCTGCCAGGGACAGGGGTGAGCGTGCCGGGGGGCAGGTGCAGCAGGAGAAGGACAAAGCCCCTCTCCCTCCCTCTTGGCAGGCCAATCTTGAGGGGGCTCTTGACCCTATATGCCCCCCCCACTTGTCACCTCTGCTGCACAAGTCCATTGAACTACAAGTCCCATGCAGCACCACGATTGTATTTTTAATCATAATATTTCTGGGGTTGGTCAAAATATTTCAGTTTTTTTAGAAGATATTGAAATTTTCTGCCATAAGCTGATTCTGTTTGTGACAAAATAGCTCTGTGGTGTGGAAACCCAGACAGACAGTTTCCACTGAACATCTTCAACAGCCACATTAAATCCTTCTGTTTCGGTATCCCCTAGCAACCTGCTCAGGATCAGGCCCCATTGTGCTCAGTGCTGCCCAAGGGGGAGCCCTGCCCTGGCTGGGGGAGAGGTAGGAGCCATGGGGTTATAGTTTGTGTTCAGCGAGGTGCCTTCCCTTAAGGGCATTTTCACCCAAGTGACCTTGTGTAACTGTCATTCTCTCCCCAGATGCCTCCGTGAATTGGTTGGGAAGCTCCAGGGTGAGTCTCAGCTTTTATTAATGACAAAGTGAAGTGATAGAAAAGAGCGATTCGTTTGCCTGTTCCAGCTCAGCAGTGACCCGTGGGCTTGGAACATGGATTTACTCAGGATTCCCAGGGTTCAGGTTGTGTCTGCTACCCTGGTCTCTCTGCTGAAGCCACAGATCTCCACCCATGTCCCAGGAGCAGGTAGCTGCCTCCCACATCTACTGTTAGCCCGGCCAGTCAGGCCCTGCCCCCCACAGACATGCATTCAGGAAAGAGGAAAATATCCTTCCCAAACTCCACATCACAGCAATAGGGGAGGATCGCCCACAGCCTGAAAATCTATCCAGCTAGAGGGGCTTTCCCTCACAAGCCTCTGCAGTCAGACAAACAACCAAGGCAGAGATGTTCAATATTTCAAAGTTCCCAAATTCTCTGGGAATTCTCCAAAATGTTAACCATGTGGGAATCAGCTCCAGTGAAAAGGATCCTATTAGTGAAGCCCCAGCACCACTTGTTGGTTAACGCCCCCCGCCACCCCCACCCCTCACGGGCCTCCCAAAGGGGAAGGAAGACAGGCAAGGGGTGAAATCCTGGGAGTTTCCCATTGATTTCAGTGAGGGCAGGATTTCCCCCAATGGGTTTGTATGGGATTTAGGTGTCAGTGGGGTGTGCATGGTCTCATACTGCTAGCAGCGGCTGTGCAGTGGTGCACACACCCTGGGTACCATGTTAGTGGCAGGGAAAGCTGCTAACACAGAGATTCCTTCCCCCAATTGCTTCCTTACTATAATGATTTATCACTACTCCAGCTGATATTGGTGTAACCTTTCTGCCAAGTGGAGTCAGCAGCAACCAGGGCCAGGTTCAATATCTAGGGGTTCCTTTCAACACTACAACACAGAGTCAGCTTGAGCCCCCACCTAGTTACATGGGAAAATTACACACCACCACTGCATGCCTCTGAGAGGCAAAACTTCCCTTCTCACAAGCACAGAGTCTGAGTGTAGAAAAGAAACTTTTAATAAAAGGAGGGAAGTCACCCGACATTAACTTGGGAAAATGCCGCAAGCAGGATTCATAAACATAAAATCATGAGCCAAACACCCACCCAGAGTACATTGGGCAGTGACCTTTTGCCTCTGGTTCTTGAGTCCAACAACTGAAAGTTCCTTTAACATGCTCCTCCCTTCACCGCACCCCACTCACTCGTCTTGTCTTTGGTCAGTGAAGACCCCGAGTTCAAGGGTGCATGTGTTCATCTCCCACCTTGCTCGCTCTGCTATGTAGGCACTTGCTTTGGGGCCACTCTGCTCCACCAGCTGCATCATGAGATATCACCAATGCACCTTGCCCCCTTCTGCTTCACTACTGTGATCTCTGTGGGTTGGTTTCTTGACTTTCCACCCAACTCTCAGTGATTCTCAGCTCTTGCAGGGGGAATCAAAGAATATCAGGGTTAGAAGGGAGCTCATCTATAGTCCAGCCCCCTGCTCAAAGCAGGACTAATCTGTAACTAAATCCCTGAATAGCCCCCTTGAGGATTGAACTCACAACCCTGGGTTTAGCAGGCTAATGCTCAAACCACTAAGCTATCCCTCCCCTCTCACTGCTAAAGCAGGCTGGGCAGAAACACTGATCCACAATGGATGATTTCAGCTCTAGGGATCACTGGACAAAACAGACTCCTAATGGAGCCTTGATTAGCTCTAATTTTGAACAGTGGGGAGGCACGTATCAAACCATGCCTATGACTCCATTAAGCGGAGGCCACCAGGCAGGAATATCTGTCTTCACCCCCTCTTGCTCTTCACTGGAGTCTGGCTTCAGTTCAGTTCAGTTGAGGGTGACACCATCAGTCAGGGCAGGCTAAGCACAGTTCTGCTGCCCTTTACTCATACAATAAGGATAAGAACATTTCATCACCCCTGCATTCAGAAGAAATTTGTAACCCAACACCAGCCAAAGTTGGTCACTTTGACAACACAGCCCTGTCTGCTCATACCTAGGCAGAGTGGGTGTGTTTGTATAAATACAGTGTGATCCCCTCCCCAGCTCATCACTAGCTGTCAGAGGAGAGCTCATTCACACCTTGCTTACTTTGGCAATGAACAATCCCTTGGATTTTTATTCCTCCTCCTCTTATGTTGCATGGGAGGAGCTTGGGCCACTGAAGTTCTGTCCTTTTATTATTATTTTAATATGTAAAAATTATCTAAAGCAGTGTCACAAAGAGAAGAGCTGTGCACCGCTATCAGGGAGGGATCGCTGGTGTCTTTGGAGTTAAGGTTGAAGTTAGCATCCTGTTATCAACCTGATTTTCACATCCCCCCTCTCTTCTACAAAACCAGTCCTGCGGATATAAAAGTTTCATTGTCAAGTCTCATCACTAGAGAAATTTTGTTCTCAAAGTTGGGACAAACAACTTAAAGGATCTCAGAAAGATGGAGTCTCTTATACTAACAAACTGGTTTCTCTCTTAGAGCTTTTAGTAAATTACTCTATGACAGGGTACTACTTACAGAGATATTTATGACTCATTTCATGTGAATTCAGAAGTTGCTTGAACCTTCTCAAAATTGTATGTATTGGTCCCCCTTTTGACCTATGCAACTGGCCAATATTTGGAGTCTTGTGGGTTGTTCTGTTGAGAGGAGAAAGTGATGACAGAGTCAGGTATGTTGGTTGATTCAACCCCACATATTTACAAAGACTCAACAGAGTGCTGTTTCCCTGGACACAACAGGAACCAGACAACAGAAGGCACTTTCTGTGCTCCTGGCTCCAAGCCTCTTTCCAGCCAGCACTCTGCCCAAAAGCTCCTGCATTTGTTATCAGACCATGAAGAATTCTGTTGGAGTACATGGCCATGCTGCTCCCAGCCTTGCCTGCGGTCTTGTCCTTGTGGGGTGGTTTCCCATTGCTTCAGCAGGAACTAAACAAAAGGGCATTTAATGATTACCATATTTAACATGAATGGAAGGTGCTTATCACAGCCACCAAATTCAACAATGTGTTGCAACTGCCCATAAATTAATGACACACTTGTTGGGAGCCAGCCAAGCTCCTGGAGAAGAATAGTATACTAAACAGTTCATAGAACCATTATAAATATCACCATTAATAACATCAGTACACAGAAGAATCCTTATTTCAGGTAAGAACACCCCATCGCAGGGAGAACCTGGCACTATTTCTAGGGTGTTGGCTGGCATGGAGAAAGAGAGGAGGCTCCTCTGCCCAACTGACAGGTGTCAGGGAAAAGTCCATCTGCCCTAACTGGGTGGGCAGAAAAGGGCCAGACCAAGACGGTGGGGGGGGGTTACGTAGGAAGTAGAACCGTTGTTTTTTCCCAACCTACATGTGCATTAGAACTGCTTCTCATGTACATACAGCAGTGCTGTCAGATGGACATTTTCTGGCTTCATTTCCCTGGCTTTAGGCTGGCTTAGCAGAAAAGTAACATTACTGTGTTTTATCTTAAAGCATCCACGGCCCCAGAGAGAAGAGACACCAACATACGCGACCATCGCTCTGCAGCAGGACAGATGTCATTAATGCTCCACTTGCTGAAATGTAGGACTCGTCAGTGCGCAGCTGCATCACAGAACTTCCCAAAATCAGAGGCAACTGTAGGGACGTGCAGCAAGGACATGGGGGACTTTCTCTGGAGTTGTGCATTTGATTTTTCCTTCCTAAGTGACGTACTTTGCACTTGTCTTTATTGGATTTCATCTCATTTGATTTCAGACCAATTTTCCAATTTGTCAAGGTCATTTTAAATTCTAGTCCGGTCCTCCAAAGAGCTTGTAACCCTTCCCTGCTCAGTCTCAACTGCAGATTTTATAATATACTCTCTGCTCCATTATTCAAGTCACTAATGAAAATATTGAATAGTACCAGACCCAGGACTACAGTGTGTGGGATCCTTCTAGATACACCCTCCCCATTTGACAGTGAACTATTAACTATGCTCTGAGCATGGTCTTTCAACCAGCTGTGCACCCAGCAGATAGTAATTTCATCTTCATCACATTTCCCTAGCTTGCTTCTAAGCATGTCATGTGGGATTCATAGAATCATAGAATATCAGGGTTTGTAAGGGACTTCAGGAAGTCATCTAGTCCAACCCCCTACTCAAAGCAGGATCAATCCCCAGACAGATTTTTGCCCCAGAACCCTAAATAGCCCTCTGAAGGATTGAACTCACAACCCTGAGTTTAGCCCACCAATGCTCAAACCACTGAGCTATCCCTCCTGCCAAGATTCAGAAGTCTTGCTAAAATCAAGATATATCCTTGCTATTGCTTCCCTACAGCCACTAGGCCAGTAACCATATCAAAGAAGGAAGCTAGGTTGGTTTGTCATGATTTGTTCTTGAAAAATGCATGCTGGCTATTCCTTATAACCCTGTTATCCTCCAGGTGCTTATCACCTGATTGTTTGATAATTTGGTCCAGTATCTTCCCAGGTATGGAAGTTAGATTGACTTGTCTATAACTCACTGGTTCCCATTTGCTTTTTTAAATATAGGTGCTATGATTTCCCTCCTCCAGGCCTCTGGAGGTGCAGGGGGAAAAAAACAAACACGTTGGCTAATTGCTCTTGTTACCCTTTGAACCCAGGCAGACAGAGCACAGTGGATTAACAATCCAGTGCCTTAGCTACTCAATTACTTTATCATCCGAAAGGGCCCCTTTGCCACCAGCTGTGCCTTGGTTGGCCAAGGTCAGGTGCCTAAGCCAGGGTAGAGAAGACCTAGCAGGAAAGGCCTGCAAGCTGACCAGTGGTGTAGAGGGATCATGAAAGAGTTCCCTTCTTGTAAACTGGGTTTAAGTCCTACTTGGTGTAGGAAGTGCTGTGCCATTCAATTTGTGGGGAGTTTTCTTCTTTTGACAACTGTAAGGCTTAGCTGGGCGAAGAGGCACAGAAGAGCAAGCCAGTGGCTGTCTCCAGCAAAAGAAGAAGGCGTGGCCAACAACCAAAGGGGAATTCGAACATGTGTATAGTGCACAATAGATTAGTAGTCTATTACCTTACTCACTCAGCTATCTTGGGTGATGTGGTTATGAGCTTGGTATCTCTCCAGGCCAGCCTTATTTTTTCTTCTCTACATTCACATGGGTCCCTGCTCTTGGGTGACTAAATGACAAATGTGTGAAAGATGCTCCATTGGGAAAGAGGCAGCTGAGGAATTAAGACTGAATATTTGTAATTGGCATGGGTGGGTTTGAATCCCACCTTTGTTGCTAGCCAGCCTTTCCTTTGGCAGTGGTGAGCACTGGCTCCTTCCTCTTCAGGCCAGGGGAATGGATTCTTCCTAAAAAAGGGGGAGCCATGAGGTCTCACCCCCTGCATGGCCACATCCCTGCCCCTCTCTTTCCCTGGAGGCCTGGCCCCTTGCCCCTCCACCTGCCCGCAGTGAGGGGCCCAAGAGTAGTCCCTGGTCCATGTCCCCATTCCCGGTTCCCCCGCCCAGGGCAGATGGCGGGTGCATGGTTCCCCACAGATGCCCACGCGGCTTGCCCTGACCCAGTCCAGCTTCTGGCTTGGCCGAGGGGCAGGGGGACTTGGGGGCTGAAGAGCCACAGGGAGACCATGGTAAGAGCTGCAAAAATTGGGCTGGCCAGGCCCATCCACTTGCAAACGTGGGAGGGCCATGGCCCCTTGTCCTCCTCTGCCTCCCCTGATTCCAGCATCCCTGCTTCAGGCTCTCATTACCCCAGCATGACAGGAAAAAAATGGTTGTAGCCGTGTAGGTCCCAGGATAGCAGAGCCGTGTAGCTCAAAAGCGTCTCTTTCACCAGCAGAAGTTGGTGCAATAGAAAGTTTGACCTCACCTGCTTTGTTTGGCTAATAAAAACCAGACACACCCAACAAACCGGGGGGCCCCGCAGTCCCTGTGCCAGCTGGACTCCAGGCCGACTCACAAAGGTGGGAATTTTGCATGGTGACTCTCCAGCGCTGGCGCCTCAGCAGGCAGAACCCGTCTCTTCCCCACGCTCGCTCGGGCGTCTGGCCGCGGCTGAGCAATGCCAGCATAACCCCCGTGTTTGCATTTCAGGGTGCGGTGATGTCACTAGGGGAGCAAACAGTCAGGGGCTATGTAGGCCCTTTGCTCTGTCGGCTGGAGACTTGCTGTAGCCTGGCGGGGCCCTGCTGGGACGGGCCAAACCCTCCAGCCCTGGGTATGGCAAGCTCGGGGGATGGGCCGGAGCCGCCTGCAGCGACTTGGGAAACGCCTGTGGGGGGGAGGCCCCTTCCGAGCAGAGTCAGCGACGGGACCGTCAAGGGGAGCGGGAACAGCCAACTGCCACCTGGGGGGGCGATGGGGGGAGACCAATTGTCACTTCGGGGGGTGGTAGAAGAGAGAGGGGGAAGGGGGAGCCCAACTGTCCTGAGGGTGGATCTCAATAGCTGTGTGGTGGGGGTGTCAGGAAAAGCCCTCAGATAAGTGGGGGACAGTGGGATGGAAGGAGGGGACGGGGATTGGGCAGAGGGAAGGGGTGTAGAAATGGGGAGGGGGAGGAGAAGGGAATGGGGTGGAGATGGGGGAGGAGAACGGGATGGAAAGGGATGAGGCGAGAATGAGGGGAGGGGAGAGGAGCAGGATAGAAATGGGGGTGTGGGGTGGGAGAGCCCTGATGGGGCCGAGGCGAGCCTTTGTGGGGCAGGGACCCACTGCCAGGGAGGGCGCTTGTAGCGGGTGATCTCTTTTGTCACATGGGATATGCTGGGAGCCCCAAGTGACAGAGGTCCCAAGCTGCTGGGAGCTGTACGGCAGAGACCCCCCCCCATGCTGCCTTCAGAAGACATGAGCCCCACCCTGACTCTGCAGGGCACATCCCTGAGCCGAGCGGCCACTCCAGGCTCAGTATCAAGGGTTTCATCCATTACTGATGGGTGTTTTTCTGCAGATGTTGGTGCTGGGTTTACAGGCTTCTGCGATATGCCCGTGACTGTGTGTTATTGAAGGGTCAGTTGTGGCTGGGTGAATAATTGATGTTTTGTTACAGCAGCAAACTGGAGACTCAGAGCAGGTATTCGGGTTGGTTCCAAACATGTTTGGAATTAGTCAGGAAATCTGGAAAGTCTATTTTGGGCCATAGAAAACGTTTAATTCAAGGCAGCTTCCTAAAAGTGCCTGCCCCTCCCAACCTTTGCCCAGGGGTGAGGGCCCTTGCCTGGGATTTGGGAGACCCACATTTGCAACCCCTTTGGAGCAGAGTCTTGAACTCTGGAGTGTGCTGCTCTCAGGTGAAGGCTGTTCCACTTTGCATAACTACTTAAATATTACTTGGGCCAAAGTGGCAGCGAGTGAGAATGACTCTATAAGCTGGAGATTGAGGGGCTCACCTGTGTGGTAGGAGCTATGGATTCAAATCCCTCCTCTGAACAAGGAGAAAGAAGTTTTGAGTCAGCGTCTCTTAGCTTCTGAGTGCCTTAATCACCAGGCTGGAGAGTCATTCCTCATGCTCTTTGTTCCAAAGAATAGCAAATTATTAGTTGCTATTAAGCGGTTAAACACACACTTCTGAAGCTGGCGTTAAAAGTATAGAAAAATCCTATGCCCAACTAAAACTAATTGGGTCAAATTTGTGAATAGTTTTGAGTTGGCCCAAACTGCATTTTTCAGCAAGCAAAGTGTTCGTGCAGAAATTTCCGCCCAGCTCTATTTGAGTACATAAACTGGTTTATTGTTGTAGGGTTGTTGCTGAGTGCCAGGACTGCACACAAAGTGGTTTGTTTGAAGGTTTGTGACTGCTGGGGTTGCATTTTGATCTATTTTTGTAGGAGCATCCATGAGCCCCGGGACACTTTAGATGTGGGATTGTTATTGTAGGGTTGTCCATATGTACTGAGGCTACTCATATGTTAGGGCTGCTTGCATACTGCTTTGTTATCATAGGGTCTTTTTGTGAGCTCTGGGGACCACTCCCAATGGCTTGTTATTGTAGGATTGCTTGTGAATTCTTGAGCTGTTGTCACACTGGTTTGTTATTGTAGGGCTGCTTGAGAGTGCTGTGGATGTGATCACACTGATTTATTATTGTCAGGTTGTTTGTGAGTCCTGGGGCTGGAGTCGTACTGGATTGTTATTGTAGGGTTGCTCATGAATGCTGGGTTTGTTGTTAATAACAACAGTGAAGTGGAATGAGAACCCCCAGTTATTTCCATGTGTAAATTGCCACCCTGCTCAGAGTGAAACTCCCACACGGAGTGGGGCTGTTCAATGGGGCAGGGGTGGTGACTTCACTGTTGGGGGAGGCCTCCCTATATTTCTCTGTTTTGTTTACCCCAGAGCATAAGAACATAAGAATGGCAATACTGGGTCAGACCAAAGGTCCATCTAGCCCAGTATCCTGTCTTCCAACAGCAGCCATTGCCAGGTGCCCCAGAGGGAATGAACAGAACAGGTAATCATCAAGTGATCCATCCCCTGGTGCCCATTCCCAGGTTCTGGCAAACAGAGGCTAGGGACACCATTCCTGCCCAGAAGCAGAAACTCCTTGTCTCCACCAAAGTCATCCCTCGGGGGGTTGGGTATTTTTATAAACCCCACTGCTGGGATAAGGGCAGGTCTGTGGCTTTGGGGCCTTCCCCCCTAAAGATCCCCCTATTTCTCCTAGAGCAGAGTGAGTGAGCAGCTGAAGCCACCCATAGCCAGGGTCTCCCTCATATCAGGACCCCCCCCCCAGTGGCTTGTGACTGAGGGGAGTGGGGGCAGTCACAGTGCAGACACACCCTGAATGTGCTGCTGGAGGAAAGGAGGCTTTGCCCTATCCCCGTGTCTGTGCCCTGGAGCAGAAGCCAAAGCTCTTGAACCTGAGATGTCAGAGAATGCCAGAGAGCGGCAGTCTAGATCCTGGAGGATGCAGCAAGCCAGAGCAGAGGCAGC